TTCTGTTTATGTTGCTGTTTTCCTTCGTCCACTTCCTTGACGTCGGGCTACCCTATCAGTATCACGGTAACGGGCGATGGTACGAGACACAAAAGATTTATTCACATTTAAATACTGGAGTACTCTAACGATAGCCACTTGTGGTTTTCCAGCCAAATATAAAGAAATCACACTATCACGCTTGAATTCCATCACGAATAGCTTTTTTTGGGAAAAATCTCACCAAAATGCTTTTGTACGCTTGTAAACAATATAATGAGCTGTTGCTGGAATAATTTTAACAGCTGTCGGACGAGTGGCTTTGAAATGACAGCAGTCTGAAGTTGTTTGCAGTTTTTTCATCTCACCCTGTATAATCGACCCGCCCGACTTTTGACCTTTCCTTGCTGTTTTTTACCTCCAAATATATAACGCTTTTCAAAACATTCATTGGCAACTATTCTTGGTGGTAGACCAAACTTTATTCAAAAATTCTAATATTGTAGTTGATGAACATAAATTCTAATAATTTTGCAATCAAACAGTTATCTTTTAATTATTATTTATTGATCAAATAATTGCAGTTTCTTTATGTGAACATTAAATGGTTATTATCATTAATAAAAGTTTTAATATCAAAAAGGGCTTATAGAATATGGGTTTATAGAATAGTGTGTGTCACACACACACACACACACGCTAAGGAAATGATAAATATTTGTTTACACATGATTGATATTCAAAGCTAAACACATAAAATACTATTATGCTAGCTCTTTGGATGGGAAGTTTTAGAGAGAGAGAGAGAGAGAGATACATTGCAATGTAGTTCAAATTAGGAAATACAAAATATTTTGAGATTTCTCAATAAAATGGTAATTTTGTCATACTGTATTCAGTGCTTACACCTTTGGCCGTACTGAATACTTTTAGCTCTGGAAAAATGCTCAATAAAGGTACATCTTTAAATATCTTATGGGTGCCCGGACATTATTATAGGAAGATTATAACAGTTTTTTTTTTACAAAATTCCCATTCCATTATGGGGGTCATTACCGAAAAAATGGTCACAACACCCCAAAATCTTAATGGGGATTATGCCAGTGGGGATTATATATACACGACATCTCCGGGTATTTTTTTTATAAACTCAGCCATATGGCAGGGAATATATCATTTGATACGGCCAAAAAGTGCCTCATTGGATACCGGTTTAAGATCCTACGTCTCTTTGGACCAAATCCGTTTCAGGACATTTGTAGTCGATCCGTCCGTCCGTCTATCTGGCTGATGCGCACGATAGCCCTCGAAGGAAGTACCCGCTTTGGTTCAAACTAGGTACATCGTAATCTTGTTAACAAACTTAGATCGAGTCCGGAGATGGGCAATATCGGTCCACTCCTTCTGGTACATGCCCCAAAAAATGCCGAAATTTAAAAAAAAATACTGCACAAAAAGAGAAAGGATAATCCGATTTTTCTCCAGCTTTGCAAATCCTAATATTTGCATCAGCGCTAGTACAGGTGCGAAAATAGACAATATCGGTCCACTACATCAAATACCTCCCCCACAAAGTGCACAAAGTATTTTGAATAATTATATATCTTATTATAATTCCAATTGAGAGTCCGATTGTTTCCAAATTACGCATATAACAATACTTTCATTCACCCAAGGTCTGGTGTGACCCCCACAAAGGATCAAAATTCTAAATATCATAATATCCGATTCCATTCAGAATTGGCACGCCTCAATATTTCTATCAATACTACATCTGTTATTAAGATGGTAGAAATCGCACCAATCCCCCTCCATTTTGAATATTCATGAAGGTCATAAAACGCGAAATCAACATCCGATTTCATTCAGACTTGGTACACCGAAATATTTCCAACAACACAAGATCCGATAGAATGATAGGAGATATCGGTCCATTTCTTATGTTCCACCCACCTCCCCCCAACCCCAAATAGTGTTCAAGATTCTGAAAATCAAAACGCTCAAAGAAAGCGAAATAAGTATCCAACTCTCTTAAAATTTCACACATACAAACATTTTTACCAATACAAGATCTGTTGTGAAGATGATGTATATCTGGGAACCCCCTCTTGTGCCTCTCCAACAAAGGACCAATTCTTTTATCTGTCATAGCTTGAGAAAAAAGTCAGTGATTCTTTGCAACTTGAAATGAATATGGAATGGAATAGTTTATAAAATTGGATATACAGGGTGAGATAAAAAAAACGGAAACAAAGTCAAGTGCCATAATTTTTACAATTTCTTTAAATTTTATTGAATAATAGCAAAAAAATGTCGGAAAAGCATCAAATTTTAGAATAAGTTTTGATTTGTTCGAATTGGTTACCTTTGGCACGAATTATGGCCTTCAAACGGTCAATGAAACATCACACGCTGCCCGAATACTGCTCTGCGGTGTTTTGGCCCATTCCCGGCGAAGCGATTGCTTAGGTTGATCGACACTTTGGTATTTTTTAGTGCCAACTTTGCTTTCCAAAACACTCCAGACACAATAGTCCATCGGATTGTTATCAAAATATTTGCGTGCCCAAGGCTTTAATACACCTTCCACAGTATTTCGCGATAATATTTGGCATTTATTCTGATGCCATGGTCGTTTAATACGAGCGGAGAGCGACTAAATGGTACAGTTTGGTTTAGGGCGAACGGATTAAGTTGGAATTTAAATTTATAAATTTTGTAATGGGGATAATGTGGGTATTAGGTTTGAGAATTAAAGTTGATTTGGAAATGTGTACGAAAAGTACTAAATAGTACTATATTTAGTTCAATTTGATACTGGAACGAATTGTGACTGAAATCGGAATTTTGGTATTAAGATCACTGTTCATGTGTTCATGTTTTCGAAGTGTGGATTATAATTGTACGAAAAAAATTATATGGTACTAAATTTGGTCTTGTTCAAAGGAATAGAGATACGATTCTGAAATGTGATATTTATATTACTAATGATATCTGCGTTTACTAAATGGTACTAAATTTGGTATTGGGTGAGGGCATAAGGCTGGAATCCTCAAATTTGATATTGAGGTTCTGAGACATGGAGGTTGTTTTGGAAATGTGTTCTATATGTGTACGAAAAATACTAAATAGTACTAAATTTGTTTCTATATTTGAACGAAAACTACTAAATAGTGCTAAATTTGTTATTGGGTTAAGGTATGGAACAGAAATCCCAAAAATTTGATATAAATGTCACTGTTTGTGTCTGGTGATGATTTTGCAAATGAGTACTATTATGGTACGAAGAGTACTGAATGGTACTATATTTGGCATGAGTCGAAGGGATAGACATAAAATTCCGAAATTTGATACACAGATTACTAATGGCTTGACTCCTGACGGTGATATAGAAATGTGTCCTTTAGTTTTTGTATACGAAATGTACTAAGTGGTAATAAATTGGGTATTGGTTGAGGGGAGAGAGCTGGAAATTTTATATTGAGGAAATGTGTACTATGTATGTGTATGAAAAGTAACAAATGGTATTAAATTTGGTTTTGGGTGAAGGGATAGAGCTGAAATTCTGAAATTAGATATTGAAGTTGCTGTTGTTATCTGGTGTTATGATCTGATGGTTATTTGGGAAATGCCTACTATAATAGTTCGAAAATTACTAGATGGTACTAAAATTGGTATTGGCTGAAGGGATAGGGCTGGAATCTTGAAATTTGATATTGAAGTCTCTGTTGGTATGTGGAATTGAGATATGGATGTTGGTTTGAAAATGCGTACTATAATTCGAATAGTTCGAAAAGTACTAAATGATACTTGTTTTGGATAACTATTGGTGAAATTTAGATTTTTTTGAAATTGGGTTAAGGGATAGGAGCTGAAAGTCTGAAATTTTATATTCAGGTCACTGTTGGTCATATGGAGACGTTGAAAGAGTTTTGGGCAGGATAATTGGATGTGGGTCAATTGGGTATTTTTTTACTCATATCCTTCTCGGTGGAATGATAGAATTTGAATACTTTTTGATGAAACTTTTTTTCCATAAACCTTCTTCGTATATAAAACCTCAAAATACTGAGAAGTTACAACATTTGATTAAAGAAAATTATCAAACAGAACAATTGTGTGTTTGAGTAGCAACGAATCTAAAATTTTAAGGTGGACTTCTTCACGAATTAGTCCCTTGTAGCTTGTTATCGTGCGCTCCAATCGGCCAAATTCACAGGTAAACTGACGAACTAGATTGACTCCAAGTTTCTCGAAACATATTTAATCCAAAGAAACCTAATGTCTAAATTAATTATTTCGATGAGGCACAACGATATATATATATATATATATATAATATTATATATATATATATATATATATATATATATATATATATATATATATATATATATATATATATATATATATATATATATATATATATATATATATATATATATATATATATATATCCTCTGTAATACGGTATGAAGATTTCCGACCGTCATGTATTAAATCCGCTTTTATTTTCCTCTAAAACTGAAATATTGTAAATCCTTGGCAATGCAAGAATTCCATTGCATATACAAATTATCCAAAATTATAATACATCCAAGCCAACCCCCTCCCCACAGTGGGATACCTCACAAAGCGAAGATATTTGCCTTGTCTAAAACAGAATTAACTTTTCTCCCTAACCCCTTGAGCTATTTTTACATAAACTAATGAAATTATGGAGATTCAAAACTTAACGAAATAATGCCAAGCCGGATATTGGCGTTTATTCATTTGTGGTTGTGTAGATAACTTGCCAAACGAGCAGGAATGCTTTGATGCCCAGGCACGTTGGCTGCTTGTCTGCCTACCTACCTACCTACCTTGCAGCGATAAATCACAAACAAATTAGTTTAGCTACTATTCTATTGATATTTATGTGATTATTAATTGAAAATGTATTTTGCCTTATTTTCTTCTCATTTCATTTCCTTGCCCCTGCCCCGCCACCAATTATGCCCTGTTTGCGCCGCAATAAATAGGTTACAAGCGTGTAGCTTGGCCTCCAGCCAATGAAGAACGGGTTGTACGTGAGTTTACACCACAGCCCCATGCTCAATACACGGCACCATTGTATGCTCCACAAGCTCAGGAACAAAATCAACCCCAACAACATCAACAACAATATCAACCAAATGCTGCTGTACCATCAACTCAGGTAAGTTCAGATATTTGAAATGAAACCAAACGGAAAAAAACCAATAGAAAAACTATAAATAAGGACATAAATGTCTGGTTGCAAAAAAAAAAAAAAAAGTTAGAATGTTTTTTTGTAATTTCCTTTCGTTTAATGTGATATAAAAGGAAGAAAAAATAAAAACGAGAAGATAGAAATGGAGTAAAAAACACACAAACGCACACACACACCAATACAAAAAAGTGATTTAATCGAATTGTAAACAAAAGCTGAGTAGCTGTGCTTGTGTGTGTGCGTTTGTGTGGCTTTACTTTAATTACTCGTCCTTCCTTCCTTCCTTTTCTACAAAGGACGATGCACCAACGTTAATGTATCCCCTGGCAGCACTTAATCCCAGCCACTCAATTGCAACAATAACCAAGTCTCATTTAAACATATATACGTACATACCTACACCTACATATACCCATCACTGTCAGGGGATTAACGGAGTCGTTTGTAAATATATATAACCAATAATATTCTATATATCCAGAATTTTTGTGTTTGATTCTTGTTTTTTAAGAGATTAAGTTCTATATAAATATTTATGTTTATTATTTTTTAATACAGCATTATTTTGTAACACATGTGTGTGTGTGTATTTATTGTATATGTATAAATATTATAGAAAGCTTATATATTTTACGTAAACACATATGTACATATGTAAAAAAAAAATAATCAAACGTTAGTTTTTTAGTGCGATTTTTTTCATAATCTTTAAAATACATTATTCAATATTTCAAACCGGATATATGTTGAAATATTTTTTGTACTATAGAATAACAAAATTATGACTTGGTGTGAGTAACAGTCCATATTTGTACAGTTCGTGAGGCTTAGAATACCCTCAGGCTCTTGAGTATTAAAAAATATTACTAAAAATAATTTTTCGAAAAAAATACTGAAAATAATAAAATAAATGGTTTAAAATTTGAGTTACAATTTATTCATGCTTTACAGGGTGATTTTTTAGCTATTATTCTTTTGACAATACGGGCTTAAACCGCCCACACAGGTTTCATTATTGTTATTTTAACCGATACACATGTTTTGTTGATTTTCTGCTAATCCTGCTCTAACTCCAGGTTAAACCAGTAAAGAAAGTCTTATGATACCCTACACCACTTTGCATATTTAGTAAAGCTTCACATAAATAAAAGTTTTAATGGCGAATTGTGGAAATTAGATCATGCCAACTATGATTATAGTACTAATTAAAAGTCCAAAGGAACTAATAATCCTCTGAATCGATATCTACTAAATTTGCCGAGACATTTACGCCTTTTCAATTCGGACATGTATTATCCATTTGGTGCAAAATTAACTTGAAAGCGGATAGATATATATGAAAGCTATATCTAAATCTGAACCGATCTCGATAAAATTTGGCAAAGGTATTTCTGAGCTGTATTCGATATATTTCCCCGGATATCGTTACTACGGCTATGCAGGGCAAATTCAACAAATCGGATGAACAATATCTATGGGAGCTATAGCTATAACCGAACCGATTCCCACCAAATTTAACATACTGGTTTCTGGACCAAATTCGGTCGTAAGTGCCAAATTTCATTCCATTTGGGCTAATATTACACGTTTGGTGCACAATAAAATGCAAATCGGACGATGATATATATGGGAGCTATATCCAAATATTAACCGATCTCCAAAAAATTTAGCAAGGGTATTTCTGAGTTATAGTTGATATATTTCCCCAAATATCGTTGTTACAGAGTGCATATTACGGCTGCGTAGGACAAAAATTACAAATCGGATGAACAATATATATGGGTGCTATAGCTATATCTGAACCGATTTTGATCGAATTTGGCACACTTATTTCCAAGCTTAATTTAGTCGAACGTACAAAATTCGATGCTATTTGGTCTGATATTACACGTTTGGTGCACAATATAAGGCAAATGGGACGAAGATATATGTGGGAGCTATACCTATTATCTCCAATTTTAGTAGGGTTCGTCCTTGGGTCAAACAAATTATTTGTGCAAAATTTCATCTGAATCGGGCAATAAATGCGACTTGTATCTTGTTTACAAAAATACATGGACAGACGGACGGACATGCACAAATCGACTCAGAATGTGATTCTATGCAGATCATCAAAAGGAACTATGGGTCTACCTTGTTTCCTTTTGCCTGTTACAAAAAAAAATGCGCAAAGGCATAATACCCTGACCATCTTGTGGTGTAGGGTATAAAATGTGGCTTTAAGCAAAGATCTTCTACAGGGAGTTTAATAGATTTGGCTGGGCACTTGAAGAGGTGCAGCAATTGTGCGTTCCTATAACATGTCGAGCAGACATATCGCACACCATCCTGAACGTAGTTGCACCAAAACTATCCTATACTGTAATTGTTGATGGCGTCTGAATATTACTCAGACGTGCCTGATAGGCTTCTTTGTTAAGTGGTTCTCTCCCTTACATTGTTGGACTTCTCTCTCTCTCTCTCTCTCTCTCTCTCTCTCTCTCTCTCTCTCTCTGTAGATCACGCATGTCCAACCTGATACGCTTGATTGGGGGAATTCTATCCACCATATGATGGTTTGGATGACTTCCACGATAACATCAAAGCAGGCACATGATTATGCTGACGTACCGAACAGACCTTCGACTCCTCTTGTAGATGGACCACTGGTGCCATGAGGAGGCACCCAGTCGTAGTTCTCAGTCCAGCATTCTGGCAGGTCTGTATGTTATTCCACTGCGTAGCACTTGTGGTACTTAAACCTGCCTGAGGGTTATATTATTTAGCGGTTCTCTCCCTTACATCGTTGGTACGCTTGATTGTTTGGATGAGTTCCACAATAACATCTAAGCAGGTACTGCAACGAATGATTATGATTATGCTGACGTACCGAAAGGATCTCTTCCTCATGTAGATCTCCTCCTGTCGCAGTTCTCAGTCCTGCATTCTGACAGGTCTGGATGTTATTCCACTACGTAGCACTTGTATTCGCAGACCACCCTGGCGCGGAATAGACGGACCTATCGCGTTATAAGAGGTCAACCCTGTCCGCACACCAAGTGCTGCCGGTAAGGAATTTGAGGATCTTGTTCCTACCTTTCACTTTGTCGCAAATAGCTGTGGCTTTAGCGGACAACTGGGAAATGCTGTCGAATGTGACCCCATAGGATCTTGGGGTAGTTCGAGTCGAAATCAAATTTCCCTCGACCTACACTTTCAGCCGTCTTCTCATCTCCGCAGACCACATAGTAAAGAGTTTGGTTGTTGACTTAGTGCGGGGAAAAAAACTCTATTTCGATAGTAAATTTGGAAATGATTTGCACCAATTTTGCAAAAACAGACATTAAATGTCCTCTTTTTTGATAAATTTTTCTTTCGCTTTTTTTCCTTAAACTTTCAGTTTAGGCAAAAGGTGTCAAAAGAAGAAATATTCTACACAAAATTTTACTATAAATCTCGGAATAAATAATATATCTGGGAATAATAGTTTTTAAAATAAATAAATTCAAACTGTATGTATCACAAGTACAAATGATGTGCTTACTTTTTATTGCTTCTAATTTAAGACCTTTCCATTCTAAGTCAAAATCTCCTTTTATACTTTATATATTGGAGAAAATGTTAAAGTAAGAAAGATTCTACATCAAATTTCGCATGAGTCTTTAAACAAAAGAAATGTGTAGGCTATATATGTATCATAGAAAATATAATAGATTTTGGTTTATAAAAATCTTTTTTTATTTCGACAAATTTAGCACTTTTTCAAAATTCGCAGTAATTTATGTGAGTGTATGCTAAATTCTTCTGCAAAGCATTATTTTAGAATTATGACTTCAAAAACAAAAATATTATACATCAAATTTCACTATAATTCGTCAAGTCTTCAAATAACTGAAATAATTTTATATTGGGTACTCGATTCCATTTAACTTCAAAGTGCACCCGGAAACCAGGAGTGTTGATATGAGCTATTTTTCTCTGTATTTTAATTGCATAGTTATTAATTAATGAAAAAGGTTAAATGCTTGTTATAATCAACTTCAGTACAACAGACCTCCCTCCTCTCTCTCTCTTGGAATTATATATTCAACATTTTATTCCGTTAGTAGTGGAATGAATGAATGACTGTCCTCAACCCCATCACCAGCCTTTTTTTAACTTTATATTTGCGGCATAAACACTTGTCAGTATCAACATAAATTAAACGAAATTCAAGATGTAACTTTTCACAAATTGCTGTTACATACTTAACGTATGTGTACACACATATACACGTACGCTTTTTAAGCACAGTGATATGGGAGTGTATGATAACCGAATAATTTGTATAAATTTTATTGGATGAGTCCAGGAAGTAAAAGTGAGCGAAAAGAGCAGTTTTGACAGCTGAGTTACTGAAATTTGGCATTTCTTGCACCTGACCTGGCACTAATAAAAATATTAGGATTTACAATTTGTGCACAAAATAAAATGACTCTTTCTTGTTCTATAATCTAAATTATTTTCTGTGGAAATGTTGACCTTTTGTGGGAGAGGTACCAAAAGGAGTGGACCAATTTACTACATCTTCACACCAGACCTTGTAAAAATATTGTGATGTGTGTAATCTGAAGACAATCTTATATCACATTTTATAAAAGTTAGATAATCGGCCCTATTACGGTTATCGTCGGCGTCGCAAAATTAAGTCGATGATATTAGGGTTGTCGTTTTTTGTCGATAGCGACAAATGGTTGCCATTATCATTGTCGATACAACAGTCGACGTGAAGTCGATTTTTGAGAATATCTGTCGCCGTAAAAAATTGTGACGACATAGTATTTTTTAGTCTACGTTGATATTGTAAGCATTTTGTATTTGATATTTGGCCATGAAAATAACAACAGCAAAACAATTTGAAATTTTGGTTTCCGAATTGGAAAAAAATCCATGTTTGGCAAAAGGGTTTACCAAAGGTCATGTTCCAGCTAATTTTAAATCTGATTGGC